TGTATGTATGCATGTATGTGTACATATGTGTGTGTGTGTGTCTGCATGTATGTATGTATGTATGTATGTATGTACGTATGTATGTATGTATGTAAGTATGTGTGTATATACGTACAGACATACATACATACTTACATACATACATACGTACATAAACAGGTACATACATACATACATACATACATACATACATACATACATACATACATACATACATATATACATACATACATAATACATATGTATGTACAGTTCATGTGAACTTTAACTTGCTCGTTGTGGAGCATGCTTGCCTGCTACTGACTACGCATACTATCAGCTGTTGTGGAGCAGTGTCGCTGCTATTGACTATTGCAAAGTCTGGATCTGTCTCCATGAATACTATCAAACACACAAGCCTTACACCCTTAAAGCCGAAACCCTGTACCCGAGACCCTGCACCCTAACCCCCAGTCCGAAAACCCCACAGCCTAATCCTCGAGCCCACCCTGATAACCTGACGTCAAATATTGGAGCAGAGCAGACCCTGAGTGAGGCCCCTTCAAGCCTAGCCTGCTGTAGGATGAAAGGCACAAAGGCCAGAGCTCCGTTCAGCGTCTGGGTGTTCTGATCCTGCAAACGGGTTAGGGCCCAGGGTGTATTGCACATTGCTGACAGGCGAACAGAGCTGTAAAGACCTCTCTTCCTGCGAAGGTTGCACCGACCGGAACTCTGAGGCCAGTGCGTTCAACCAGTTTTTGACGCTGTCATCGAGCTTGTCAAGGGTGACGTTCGCCAGCCTTGGCATTAAGCCGTCGGGTTAAACAGCTGCCCAGCCTCAGAATAGCATCGGATCCACTGCGTGCTGTCGCCGTACTTGTTGCTGGTTGTTACATGAAGTGCTCTTCCGTCTCGTCTTGTTGTCTGCTTTTCGTGTCTTTTTTGTTGTGTCTTTGATGACAGCTGCTAGAAGAACAAATCTTCCTGGTTCATACGCACCAATAGCATCACTGCCCCACTAGAACACCAAGACCTAAGTACTACTACAAACTAGAGATCGTGACAGTGATACTGTTTCAAGCCTTAGTGAGAATATACGTGCTTCGGTCATGACTGCCACTAGCTGCTGCTAGTGCTCGCCTCAATAGTGAGAACCCTACCGTGGGTGTAATGATGGTAGTTGCTGTCATAGCAGCAGTCACAGTCGCAGGAGCAGGAACAGGAGAAGCAGTAGTAGTAGGAGGTAGAAGCAGGAGGAGCAGCAGTAGCAGCAGTAGCAGCAGTAGCGGTAGCAGCAGTAGCAGCAGCAGCAGTAGCAGCAGTAGCAGCAGTAGCAGCAGTAGCAGCAGTAGCAGAAGCAGTCGTAGTCCCAGTGGCAGTGGAGCAGTGCCAGCAGCAGTGCCAGCAGCAGTGCCAGCAGCAAGGGCAGGAAGAAAACAGGGGCAGCAGCAATAGCAGCAGCAGCAGCAGCAGTGGCGGTAGCTGCAGTGGTCGAGGCAGTGGTAGTCGCAGTCGTAGTCGAAATAGTAGCAGAATTTGCTGTAGGGGTTGAAGAGGTTGCAACAGCAGCAAGCAGCAGCACTAAGAGCCGCGGAAGCAGTATCACAAGTAGAAAACAAGTAGTCATAGAATTCATGTTTGAGCGGTGGCTAACAAAACAAAGACTGCAAGCACCCTAAACAGACTAAATAAGTGCAAGCCAGCCGCGTTTCGTTTTGCATGATCGCCTCGTCTGCTATTTGGCCTGACATGGCGCACCACCAACATTCTGTAGGATATTTCTTTGGATCATCCTGCCTCCATGCCATCAGAGACTCATGCAGAAGCACG